AGCCATTTTTCGAGGTCAACATAAAGTATTAGAAGAACATTAATCATTATTTCATTGGAAAAACATTGCAAAGAAAATCAAGAATTAAGTAAAGTAAGTTTCTTTCTTTGCAATGTTTTTCCAATGAAATAATGATTAATGTTCTTCTAATTGTTTCCTTTACTTTTTTGTGTGTATCTTTGTTTTCAGAATCAAGAAAACAAAGGATTGTGACAGAAATGGAAGGTAATTAAGACTCCTTCTTTATTCTTCCCTTTTTGTGATTATTTTTTAAAAATCCCTTCCGATATTTGATTTCTTGATGCAGATTGATGGAAGCTCATATGATGATTTTTTATTTTATAGGGTTTTTTTTATCAGGAAAATTCAGCAGAAATGAGTTCGAAATTGGCTAAATTGGGGCTTGTTGCCTTTCTTGCTTATGGCATATTTGATGGTGTGACCTATACTAGTTTCTTTGTTCTTGCGATTCTCGGGTATGAGAAATGTACCGGCAAGAATCCTGCAGCCAATCTTCAAGCTCTATTAGGGGTAAGAATTGCTTATTTTGTGAATTTTAAAGTTTTTCGAATGTTTGGAGTTGGGGTTTGGAATATGAATCAATTTGAAATTAGGACAGAATTTTTTTTCTGAAAATTCAAAATTTGGACTTGACTCAATATGTTGCTATGTTGAATTTATAGGAATGCTTGATTAAGGAATATCACAAAGAATTGGCCTTATATACAATTTATTGTTTTGATGAAGTTATGGAACTGGTTTTTCTTTTTGCTTCGAGATTGGGATTAGGGTTTAATTCTAAAATTTATCTCCTAATGATCAAAACATAAATGAGCAGCATAAAAACAATCAAGGTAAAGTGCCTATAGTCAGGTGTAAATTGAAATTCATGCATTGCAAGAAATTGGACTAGATTATTGGGAATTATTCTCGTTATTTAAATTTGGAAGTGTTATTGAATTGATTACATTAGTTAACCTTTGCATTATTACAAGTATTGAGAGAAATTAGAATTTCTGTATTTAAAAGATGAATGTATTTACGAGGAAAATGTCACATTTGTTCTGCATTTAGGAATGAAATTAGCTCTTGAATAATACCTATTTACTTAGAGGTCTAAAGTAGATTTCCCGAGAGTTCACTCGGTAGAGAAATGGCATAGTGGCATAGTGGTGAACTGTTGTTCCTGACAACTCACCGCAGTAATTCTCAACAGATGGAAAAATATCGACAGATGAACTGTCGAGACCCGATAGTTGAGGTCAGTTTTTCTCGACACATGACAGTTCCACATTCCGAACATTGGTTCATTCGAGCGTAATATGTGTGTTTCGCATTAACATGTACGAAATATTGTGAACTACAATTTTTTCAATTATTTTTGTAGATTTGTAAGATACTATTTCGTGTTTTATGATTTTCGTATTACATGATATTTGTTTTATTTCGTTATATGTTCTTCGTATTATTTCGTTAAATTGTGTTTCTTAATTTGTTGCTGTACCTTGGTATCAACATATACCAAATATCATGATTTGATTTTTTTTTCTCGTTGTACCTTACTGAAGAGATGGATTTTGAATTCCTCGTTCTGGAAAATGCACGATTGTGGGCCTACATTTCGCAACGAAGCAACCTAAAGTACGTAAAAAGGGTCATGGACCATTGCAGAAGTTATAATATATCTAAATTCCGACTGCATTCGATAAATGTAAATTTGGAAGCTACTATTGACTTTGAATTTCAGCTCATCGTACTTTTGTGTAGGCAGTGCGACTAAATTGCCGGTTGCGCCCACTATACCCGAAGCAGGAAATGATGTCGCTCACATAAAGAGGCACCGTTCGACACACCTTCGATTGCCTGCAACATCTACCAGATGTTCGTCTACTAGAGGGGGGGGGGGGGAAGATAATAAAGAAATAAGTAAGTCTATCATGTGTTAACATACTATGAATGAGTCCATATTTGACAATGCACTTGCGTTAATTTCTGTAATACATTTTGGCCCTTTTCCACTCGAACTGTGTAACATGATTTTGTGCCTTTCATGGATGATGTGCATACGATTCGATGTATGTAGAAACTATGTTCAATGTCAGTCATATGCTTTATTGAGACACTAATTTGTATGAATTTTCGTTTAAGTTGGCCACCTACATCTTGTCAGGAGCAACGACGTGCTTTGTTGTGAATAAAGCTCAATCTACGCGGAGGAGGATATACAAGATGCAATAGGGATTGCATGGAAGGGTAGATCTCCAATTGGGGCTTCGCATGGAACAATATTTTTGGAAAACATTAAAGTATAATCTTCCCGTTAGTTGCTTCAATTTCTGTTAGTGTGACACTTGGGAATTGTGTAAGAATGGCAAGAAAATTGTTATACTGATGTTGAATGTAGATCTAGGGCCCATGGATCGTGCGTGGATAAATAAATGTTTTTATGTGTATGGCAAAATGTTGCCAATGTTATCCATGTTGTCTAATTATTGTAGATCTAGGGTCCATGGTTCGTGCGTGTATGAATAAATGTTTTTATGTGTATGGCGAAATGTTGCCAATGTTATCCATGTTGGCTAAAGTTGGGGTTCTGTTTTGTGGTTCGAATGTCGTAATGCAGTTATTCAACATCTTAAGATACGAAGTACTAATGAAAATTGATTGCCAACAATTAAGATACAAAGGTACTAATGAAAATTGATTGCCAACAATTAAGATACAAAGGTACTAATGAAAATTGATTGCCAACAACTATATGCAAGATTTTTGAAGAGAAAATGGTACACACTCATTAAGATTTACAATTTTCATAAATTAAGGAACCAATTTAAGTCATAAAGGTACAATTAAATCCTAAACCATCACACCAATTGTCTATTAAATTAAGTTTGAGCTATGACTTGGTGGTTGGGTAGTAAATAACCATAGTTGCTTCCATCCAAGAAGTTCATTATAAATAGCATGACATCACTTCATTATGATTTACACTTGAACACTTCATAAGTTTTGTAACACTATATACTACTCACATACAAAAATAGTTTCACCCATTACGTTTGCATTCTCCATGATGGGTCAGTGCCAACTGTTGAGAACGACAAAAACAATCTGTCCAGAACGACAGATGAACTGTCAGGATGTTATGCAGTGTTATGTCCATTACGTTTGCATTCTCCATAATGGGCTCGTCCACGGGAAGCACCGAACTGTTCAACATGTTTTGTCCTCTCTCAACTTCCATTCGTCATCCACACAAACAAAGTATTTCGAAATTACGATACTATATATCTCAAATGATTAGTCATACTTAATGTTGAGATTGCAAATGTAAGAATTTCGTTCAATAAATATGTCTACATTTAATAATGTGACTGTGGAACTTTTGAATATTGAAATTCATGGAGTATTAGAAAGTGAAATCAAGGATGTGTCAACCTTTTTCAAGTGTCGAATTCAACAGTTAAATTATCTATCTCGACAGTTCAGAAATGTCGGATTCGATAGTTCATATGTCTAATCCGACGGTTTCAAATGAACTATTCGACAGATGAACTGTTGGAACTGTTGAAAAATTTGAAAACATGTATTTGGTACCTTTGAAAAAATTATTGAAAACATTAACGGTGATAATCAATTCTTAACTACAGCATGAAAACATCTTCCCATTAATAAATAACTCAATGCTTCATTAAACANTAACTCAATACTTTATTAAATATAAAAAAATCCTTCAGTTTTGTACATGATATTGGTATTTTAATCCTTCACAAATATTTCAAAAACCCAACAAATCAATGAATAATAGTTTCAAAAATTTCTCCCATTACATTTCACTATATTGTATTGAACATCTAAAAAATAGTAATTTATAAGATAAAATTATAAATAATTTGCAATGGCCAACCTCTCAAAATGAATGATGAATTCAATAGTAATGTGTTCTTGATAAAAGAATGAAGAAGATAGAAAAGAAGTTAGGGTTTGTTAACGGGAAGAAGATGTGTGGTTATGTTAATATTTCAAATTCTTTTATCTTTTTTTTATATATATAAAATTCATATTACTTAATATAATATACATATAAAATTTTTTTATAATATTTAAATTAAATCATCACATCATAACATTAATTATATTCAAATCAAACATTAAATGCTCCTAAAAATGTGTTATTAAGGTTAATTTGGACATTTTGCACCAAAAAATGACATTTTTGCTCACAAAAAGTGAAAATGACAATTTTTTGGATTTTCAAATTTAGTGACATTTATGAAAATTCCCCCTAAATCAATTCTCGATTGAAATATGAGCTATATGTGATTCTCAATGCAAACATCTAACTTGTTGACCCCAAAAAATGAACTCAACAGATACCGGCCCACCCTTGCCACGTTAAACAATGATCCGACGCATTTCTACCGAAACAGATGGAACGCAGTTGGATGGAACTCGTGAGGTGCTTTCCGACAAGAGACACAACTATTCGAGCTCCGGTGGTTTGATTTAAACGGCCCTCGCGCTATCTGCAAGAGTTCGATCAATTTCCCTGAAATGAATATCTGTTTTTTTGTAATGGAATATGTGGAAGGATAGGTAAGAGACAATGTCTTGTAATGTGTTATGATTTCAATATAAGTTGTATTCTCTAAGATCAAGCAAAGCAAAGTGCATAAATCTGTTCTTTTGTCACTCTTCGTACCCCCTCTTCTATACAATGAGGGGTTTATTTATACTAATCTAGTTGGCGTGGTGACAGTTAGATCAAATTCACGTGGCGACACCCCCCAGACTGAAGCCTCACATCAATGTCCAATCTTTACAATTATTGTTTTGCATAAGATCCGTCGTTCTACTATGTAGACTGACTCGCTGACACACATTAATGCTACAGATACTTTATGGTAGATGTCACGTCAATCAGTTCTGAGAGATCTTCAAATCTGCTATGAGGAAATGTCTACATTAAGCTTCAATACTTCAGTCTTAATGAGCCTCTGCATTCGCATGAAGGAGCTTCGGACCTAGGAGCCTCTGCCTTCGAACGAAGGAGCTTCGAATTTAAGAGCCTTTGTTGACCTTGTCTGTGTTGGCTTCCCCATTGACTTTTCAACTAGCTTTCTGTCCACTTGGCTAAAGGAAATATGTGGCTGTCCATGCAGACTGCTGACCTGGAGCTTCCAATTCTGGGGGGTAACAATAGTCCCCCAAGTTTATACATTGTTATTTATGTAATGCATGAACTTTCAAATGTCATGCAATTTCGTGAAGAGGATCTAATCTTTGTAGACCTTCCTACAAACATTTTGCGAAGTGATTCGCCTAGCGACATCAGTTTCTAGTTCACGGTGCTTTCTTTTCAGAGGTTAGGAATGTTTACCGTTGACTTAGCAGCCTCGGATTGACAATTAAGAGGGGTGTTATCTGAGTAATAATTTGTTTAGGGATACGAGGAGTTCTCGGCTAAGGCGTTTCAATGATTTGATGATGTTGGCTATTTCCAAGAAAAGGTAATCATGATGGCACAATTCATCGTGCGCACCGCAGCTACTATATTAAATGAATGATCATGGCTATCTTTCCTATTTCTCATACGTTTCATAGGAACGACAAGGGGCTGTGGTCAATGCTTTAATCTGAACCATTGAATTTGAAGCATCTGAAGTGATGTGTGGCATCGATTTTACCTCTAAACATACGGTTAGATAGGTCAAACCTTGATCTAATGGTTGGGGTCGAGCTTCCCTGTCTATAAAAAGAGATTGCCTTCAGGAAAAAGCCTTTTCACTTTATCTCTACGTGAATTTCTGCCTGCTAGCTTTATTTTCTT